GAAAAAGAAGTAGAAGAACATAAAATGATGCCAGATTTTCCTCGAGTCTAATTGTTGTTTCCTTAAACAAATCATATAACAAAGATTTTACTTGCTCAATGAGCAGCCACGGGTTAGGCCGTTCAACTATATGAATAACATCAATGAAAAGTGGGAGTTAATACATAAGTTCATAATCAGTGTGGAGTTGGTTGAATAATTCACTCTAACATATAGACAGATCTGACAAAGTCACAATTAGAAAAAAAAATAATTTTTTGCTTACTCGACGAGTTATCGTGGGTTAGGTCTTTCACTGATGGCCGAGACATCCATGGGAAGTGGGAGTTGATACATAATATCATAGTACATATTAAGTTGGTTGAGCCATTTCACGTAATGACAAATCTAACAAAGATGCCATTAAAAATATATCAGGAATAAATAAATAATATTGTAACCATTTACTTAATATTTCTCTTACATTCACCATGTTTTTCAGGATCACTAATAAAAATATCTCTGAAACCCCATATTACGGCTACACATTGACCTACAACAAGTTGAGCGGTAGGATAATAAATACTGTAAAGTACGTTAGTCACATTGTGATTTTTTTTTTAAATATTTCAAAAGTGTTTGACATTTTAACCAATCATAGTGACTAACGGTGACATCACAGTCATCTTTACATTTACTCATCTTACAAAATTCATCTAATTGAGCACAACATGGAGACATTTTATTTAACATATTAAAAGTTGAGTTCCAAGGGTAAGAACATTTAAAACACTAATCCAACAATATTCGTGAATCGACGCCTCTCTCTCCGCGACCCCTAAACCCTTTCTTCTTCTCGTTGCAAATTTTCATGAATCGACGCCTCTCTCTCGGTTTTCTTCCTCTCCAGTAGTCCCCCCTCGCTGCCCGACCCTCCTTGATGCCGCGACCCTGCTCGCCTCTGGTGCCGGTTGTCTTGGTGGTTGCCAACTCTAATTTACTTTCTCCGGAAATCGGGTTAGGGTTCGCCATTGATGGCCACTTCGGTGCTGAGGAGGGACCTTGGGTCGTGGTGATTTGGGCCAGGGTCGGGTGCGGCCTTGTCGGTCCTCTTTCTCAAGTTGGAGGTCTTGGGTTTATCAGGAGGTTCTCTCCCCGAATTAGCCCCCGACGGAGTGCTTTCCGGTCGCCGCGGGGTGCTGGAGCTGTCGGACTGCTATGTTCTTTTTTGCC